GGCAAAAAAGGGCTGTTTTCTAAGCCACACAGTGGTATTCAGGGGTGCTGGACACCCTTCTGAAAGTACCAAGATGCTGAGAAGCTCTGATGTGATCGGTCATGTTGCTGATTTGATATGTTGGTACTCTTCACAGTGAAATCAAAATGGGGACACATCTGAAAAAGTAGATAGTCTAATGAGTAAGACATTTTGTAAATAAGACCAATTAAAAATCAAAAACAGTACACATCTGAAAAGGCAGATAATATGGTAAGACATTTGGTAAATAAGAGCAAATAATGATGTTGTAAACCTCAACCCAACACACTCGTGTCAATGCTCTCAACTTATGCTCTCACCCATAACAGGTTAATACCATTTTTGCAATACAGCTTGGTGTTACTTTCTTTTCTTTATGAAAACCATTTTGCTGCCTTCTGAGCAGGTATTTAACTGCACTTTTGGGGATGCAGTAGGATCAAGCAGAGGAAAGCAAAGACTGCCCCATTTTTTTCTTTTTACATTTAGAGTACTTGAAAAAGAGATGGAAATGCTTTTGTGTTCTTTCTGTCAGAAGTGCTAGTGGGACAGACTTTGCAACAAGGCAGGGATCAGTGTTTGAGCGTGTTCTCAGCATCCTTGGACTGACATCCTGCTTCCACAGTGAAACCCCTCGTGTTCAGCAGAACAGCATAGGACAGACTTGTGTGACCCACCAGATGCTTTGTCCAGTACCTTTTGGAGTTCAAATAGACAAGTGAATTGGGGGAGGTGGGGAACAGTGTGATAGAACTGGCATGCTTAACTAAGAAGCAAAATGTCTTGGATTCCATGGGGCTGGGGGGCAAAATGTTTTAAGCAGATGCATAAATAGGCCCCCAAGATCTACAGAAAATGTTAAAGCATGTCTTGCCTAACACAACATCTGCAGAGGACTTCCCAATAGGTTTAAATTCAACCAAAGATATACCTTGGTACCTAAATAATCTTTTCTATTTCCCAGGCTTTAGAGTTCTGGGACAAATAGGTTCAACTTGAGAGGCAGTCACAGAGTCATGTGTACCCCTTTGCTTTCATGGAGTCAGCATTCTCAGTCTGGGTGGTCCTTAGATCTGACATGCTGCACATCCCAATCCAGATCATTTTATTCATTTAACATCTGTGTAAAGTTTGCGATCTTTCAATGTCTTGCTGATTTGTGACTGGAAAACCTGAAGAGCTGGAGAATTCCTCAGGGTTTTCTGGATGTTTATCACTAAAATCCATCACTTTCAATATTATAAATGTTCACCTGTTTTCCAGAAATTCTCTGGCTGTTTTCAAAGCTTTTTGATAGGTCTTTCTCCAGGGGTCAAAAGACATTTTTTTTTCCTTTAGATTAAAGAACCACCTAAAATCCCCTGTCTGGACAAGTGCAATAGACAACAATTAGTTCAGTCAGAATTGCTGCCTGACATTTTTTACATTGCAGTGCAAACTAATCTCTGCAGAGCTCAGTGCACAATTCACATGATGCTTGATGCAAATTTTTTCTGATGGACTGCTGAAAATGCACTGCATTTCCTCAAATGTACTTGCTCTTTAAACTCCTTTTCTAGCGTTCTTGGAGGGCTTTTTGTTTGTTTGTTTAATGCACAACTTGCTGTTAGGAACTGAACCTTTCAGCTCAGCGGTGGCTGATGACAGATGTCACCCAGCAGTGCTTCTCTCTACAGCAGTGGCTGCATGTGACTCTCAAGGCCAAGTTTCAGCACTTGAAAAAAAGGAAATGTGAATTCTCTCAGCACAGTGTTTCAAGAGATGGTATAGAAAATCTGTGTTCAATCTGTTCTTGTTTGAGGAAAATGCAAGGTTGGGCTGTTCCTTGGCAGTAAAAAATGAAAGTGGAATAACCATGAGAAGAATTCATTCAGAAATAGGAACAAAAAGCAAAATGTTGTACTCCAAGTACTCTACAGTTTGAGCTTTGTTTCATGAGTAGTATATGTTAGCATGACTGCAGGCTGGAATATTGATAGTGTTTAGTTTTAGTGTTTTTTTTTTTCTCACTGAATACATTTTGGGGTTATTTTCATAAAGCCACGTGTTGGAGATGTTATGACTCACGAGGGCTGTCGTGCAAGACATGCAGCTGTACAACTGGAAGAGTCTTATGAACTGAGTTCCTTGGCATTTTCAGGAATCACAATAACAGAAACGTTTTGCTGTGTAGGCAAATCTTTTCCTACACTTATTTTCTTGTTGGGTCACAGCACTGCATCTTCCAGGAGACAGTTTCCCCCCCAGATGACCTCTTTGTCTGGCAAGTAAACACCTGGGAAATTACCCATATCAGCAAATCCAGCTATAGGTTTTGATAAGAGAAATATCTACTGCAAACTCAGCACTTTGGTAGTGATTAGGGATGGATTTATTCCACTTTCAGGATAGTTCACTTTGGTCTGTCACCCTGCAGTTCTTTCAGAAGGGGTCTTTCTATTTTGCTGTGTTTTGCAGAGTACATCATGGGAAATACCTGCTTATTTAATTCATGCTGTTGCCCTAAATGGATTCTTTTATTTTTGTCTGCGGGCAAATTCCCCACGTAATGTAAAATCCCTTAAAGGTGCAAACTGAATACACGTGTGTAGAGGATCTCATGACCATGAGGCACTTTGAATATCAGTCTGCCTTAGTTATGTGTACTGAGAAGGAAATCCTGGAAGTGTCTTAGAATGCTCACATTAAAAATTCAGAGAAAGTTTTGCAATGTGGGAAGTGACATGATTATAAATGAGTTTATGTTTATTGGGGAGGGAAATACCTCCTGGAAAGAAGCTGCAGGTAGTCATATTGGTGGATCACCTAGCTTCCAGCTCCACATAACCTCAATCTTTGCCTCAGTCCATCCCAATACAGCAAAGTCTCAGAGCTGATTCAGGGCTGTTCAGCTACTGAGCTGGTTATTATGGGCTTCTTTTTGAGTAGTGGGATACACAGATGCTGATAAGATACGATTCATCTGCTGTTAGAATCATAGAATATTCTGGTTTGGAAGGGACCTATAAGGATCATTGAGTCCAAATCTTGGCTCCACAGAGGACCACACAAAGGACCTGATGTTCGCTGTTGTGAGAATGAGAGAAATTGTGCCTGTTTCTCTTGACTGACTTAAAATGCTTGTGGAGGACTGGTTCTGATAGAGATATCTATCTAGTGGATATAACCCCTAAAACTGATAAATCACCTCTGACTAAAGTGTTGCTTGCCATCTTCTATTAGACACGTGAGCAAAGATCAACCAGAGAAGCTGTGGATGCTCCATCTTTGGAGGTGCTCAAGGCCAGGTAGGATGGAGCCCAGGGCAACCTGACCTGGTGCCTGATTTAGTGGCTGGCAACCCTGCCTATGGCAGGGAGGTTGGAAAGAGATGATTTTTGAGTTCCTTTCCAATCCAAGCCATTCTATGATTCAAAAATGGCTTGAAGTAAACCACAGAAGCACAAATGGGAACAAGAGTAACCGTGAGTATCCAAAATACACTATCTAGTGGTGGAGTGGTTACACCCAAAGGTTTACAAAAGTAGAACAAAGAAATAATTCTAAAATCAGAGAATCATAGAATGGCTTAGGTTGGAAGAGACCTTACAGATCATTGATCTATAACTTCCCTGCCGTGGGCTGGTTGCCCCCTACCAGCTCAGACTGCCCAGAGCCCCATCCATCCTGACCGTGGGCACCTCCCAGGATGGAGCAATCTAATATGTAGATAAACACTGCAAAAATAAAAATTATGATATAGTTTAACATTTAGTGGATAAATACAAATGCAGCTACAAGCGTACACACCTGAGACAGTGCTTACAGATGAATGAAAGGAGAAGCTTCTACCCAGATTCAGGGAAGTGGCATGCCTTGTAAGCAAGTACTTATGCAGCCTCCACAAATTCACTGAGCGAAGAATTAAACTCAGCATCAGTAATGCAAGGAAGGAAGGAAGATTGTATGATAATGAAAGATATGACCTGATGTAGTTATCTTTGCTCCTATCATAAGCAGCATCCAAAAACAAAAAAAAAAAAACAAAAAAAAAAAAAAAAACCAGAATCTAAATCTCATCAATAAGAACAGTGTTGCACACCTGGGGTCTAAACATCTGGGAAGTGCTGTATTAGTGAAACCATCTCCAGGCTTACAGAGTGGATGAAAACTGAAAGCACCAGCCACCTGCAACTTTAAATCGCTAATTTGGAAAGACGTCTCTGTGTCATCCAATTTCAAAAGCACCGTACAAGCTGCATAGTCATTGCTATTACTGTGATCCTAACTTATTCACATCTCGGTGTACAGGGATTTAGATGCACACAGCAACTCTGTGTCTTAAGATGAGACTGTGCCCCTCAGAACGCTTTTAATTCCTAACCACTAGGGGTTATAGCCCCTCTTGATGTGCAAGGATTTATATCCCTAACTCCTGGTAATACTCATGGGAATTGCGTGCATGAATCACCATTGAACAAGATGAATCCTCACAATGTTTAGTTTCTGGAGTTTTCTCATGTTTCACATCCATCATATTTCTTGTAGTTATTAGCAGCCCCACAGTCTGTTGATGAGAACTATTAAGTACCTATGTAACTTAAGTACCTAGGTGAAATTCTATTATTCTTAAGGTAGGAAATTGTTTTGAAGCAAGCAGTATTTTGTGGGCATTAATAAAGACATGGAAAGGAGTACCTGCGTAGGGTGACACTTCCAAATAATCTGCAAAATTGCATTCTGAACACCATCTGGGTTTGCAGCTCCAGCCAAGAAAGCATGGCTGAAGTCTGGGTGATTCATCCACTCTGTGAAACCACATTCAGAATTTGCATGCAAAATGGCTGAAGAAAGCAGGCTGCATGTACAACTGTCTTGATAACTTAAGTTGCACTTGCACAGAACTACGCTTTGTATCTGTGGTTTTCTAATGGCTCTGCTTGTACCCACCAGTCATGACCTCTTTGCTCCTAGGAAGTAGTGCAGTTGCACCTGAGAAGTTCTGGATGCTGCAAAACATGCTCCCTTCCTCCTCATCCCCTGGAGTCTTGTTAATATAAGTCCATGCCACGGCTATCCAGCAAACATGAAGCGAACCTCCCACCCCACACTGTATTGGTTCCAGTTTATTGCCTCCTGTTGGCTGAGTTCCCACTCAGCAAGCTCTGTGAAGTCAGCTCAACTCCAACTAACAGCTTCATCAAATTGTTTGGATTCTGGGGACATGCAGGTCTGCCTTCTCATGGTGAACAGGCATCAGGATCACAGGGTGAAATGCTAAAATGCAGTAAGTAAAGCTACACCTCCAAGTCCTTTCTTCATGAAAGATCAGCTCCTCTCTGGCCATTTCTAACACCTCTGTGAAATCCAAAGATAAACTTATTAGGCAACACTGCTTTGAGTGCCAGCAGCACACAGATAACACACAGCTTTTCCCATTTGCCAGCACGCAGAGATACATCCTTCACATCAGGACAGCCTTGTGAAGAAAGAAGAGCTCATTGAAGCTGAATCTTAGTGAGGGAGAGGTAATGCTGTTGCTCAGAGGAAAAGATTTCAAAGAGTATGCAGCTATAGCTGTGTCTTTTTTTTTTGTTGAAGGCATTCGTTCAGCTCAGCCTTCCCCGACGCTAATCTCCTCCATAGCAGTGTGCCCAAGTAATAGTCTCTTCTGCTTCCTTCCAGCTCTTCAATCATCTAGTTCCTGTAGGATTCTGCCACTTGGCAGGACAAGCAGCATTCTGAGAGATCTATGCATGATATCACCAGCATTTGAAAATTCCAGCTGTAAGACATGCAATCAGGTTTCTCCTTAATGACACCAGCTATTCAACTGCATCGTACCTCCAGATCCTCAAGTGGCTTCTCAAAGAATTTCAAGCCCAGTTCATAGCCTGTTCTTTGTTGACAGAGTTCAACAAGCCCTGTGAGAAGGAGACTAGAGAAACATGGAAAAACATTCAAGACTCTGTGAAGACTATCTTCAAGCATCTTGCTCCTTTGAACAGTGGAGCTGTCATATATATAGGTAATATCATAGAATCATTATAGAAACATAAAATGGTTTGGGTTGAAAGGGAACTCAAAGACAATCCTGTTCCAACGCTCTTCCATGAGTAGGGTCACCAACTATTAAATTATGTGCCATATCAAGTTGCTCAGGTCCCATCCAATCTGGCCTCAAATGCCTCTAGGGATGAGGCATTCACATCTTCAAATCCCTAGGTGAGAGATAAAACTTCCCTGGAAACCGGTCCAAGAGCAAAGCTGGGCCCTTGAGAAAGAAATTACTTCCACAAAACTCACTTCCATCTATTCCGAGGCCATTCTTCAAGCTCACCTTCTTTTGTATCTTAATCACACAATGTATGAACTCCCTTTCTCAAAAGAACCCAGCCAATGCAACAAACATGAGTGAAAGGAAAAGAAGGCAAAGAACAATTTTTTTCCAGTGATGGGGACAATATAAGAAGCAGTATAAGCAGGGAATTGTATAAGAATAAAAATCTGTGCTTATGGTCTCAGTGCAAATGTTGCTTCTTAAGTTAGGTACATACACCTTAATCCTTTCTCAGGTACTATACAGACATGCTTGGTGCATGTTGTACATAAAGTAGCTGAGTTGCACCAAAGTTCATGCCAGAGAGTGGGAACCTGCTCAAAGCAAGCTGGAATGATGGTGGGATATACTGGATATTTAGCAGAAATAATCTTTTTCCCCATATCTGCTTGGAATCTGGCTTAATATTGCTTCTGGAGACAAAGAAGCAAAAAAGGTTCATCAATCAAACTAGCTGGCCAACTTCTGATTGTCCAGTCCTCACAGTCCCATTTTCAAAAGCAGCAAGTCTCCTCTACATCAGCAATAAAACTGCTGCTACTCTCCTTAGAGCTGAAGCCCTCTGTCCATGCAGGATTTTTCCATGACAAATTTCCCATTAAAATCATCCAGCAAACCCAAGGCTACCTTTTGCTAGTGACAAAGAACAAGATACTGTTGTTACCCTGAAGTTTACCTCCCAGATATCCCAGTCATCCCACATCTCTTTCACTCTCCAAGTGAAGTTTTCCTGGAACATCTGCAAGGAAGGACAACTCTGAAATTTGCTTTCACATCCAACGAGGCTGCAAAAAAAGGCAAAGTGCTGTGACAAATGCCTCCAAAGTCAGCCTTTGTCTTCCCCTCTGTCTCATTCATAATTGTGAACCTCTAGGTTAACTGACCTGGGTGTCAAGTCTGAAAAACAAAAAAATCAGATTATATTCTCTGAAATGGAGAATGAGCAATAGGTAAGAGTTTAGAGGACTAACCAGAACGTGTCTAATTATTTGGGCTTAGGATTTAACTTACTGTTTTTTCTTTCTTCTTCTTTTCTTCCCTCAGCCCCTGCCTGATACTTAGAGCACAAAACCCAGCAGGGAGAGGGGTAATGGAATTTGGAGGCAACTGGTGTTCAAAGACCTCGCTTGAAATGGGCCTATGCTAATGCTGAGGGTCTGTGCAAATTGGGTCGACTTCCCGCATATTCCTAAAGGAGCAGCTTCATCAGGTTAGCCTGCATGGTACAGAGATGTCTCTTTAAGTATTTCATAGAGCTTCACCTCACAGTATTGTCCAAATCCTCAAAGAGATTCTGGCTCTAACTGCCCAGCCCGTGGCCAGAGCAGGATACATTCATCCACAGAGCATCACCCGCGCGTGTGTGGTCTCTGAGCCACGGGGAGAGCACGTTCATCCCAATGTAACTGAGTTTAATTGCCACCTCCTGACTCTTTTCAAAAAAGGAATCTGTGTTTAAAGGCTCAGAGCCTTTTCCTTGAACTTTCTTGCTCCAAACTGAGCTGGCATAACTCCCTTGTCCTTGACAGAATTACGTTGGCCAGCTATCGGTCAGACAGAGATTTGAATTTGGCAGTCAACCTCATCGTATCCCCTTCTTTGTCTCCTCTATGTATTTCATGAAGTGTTAAAAAGTATTTTGTATGCTTGCGTATGTGACTCATACAAAATATTTGCACAAAACAGAACATTAAAGGATTTGCTATAAATTCAAAATTAGTTTTGCACTGAATCGAAGTAATGCTCTTTCTTTTTCTGAGGCAGAAAAGAAATATTTTATAAATAGAACTTAAAAAGATGCAGCAGTGAGAGTAAGTAAGATAAGAGCTATAATTCAAGCCTACAGGACTTTCCATTGAAAATGTGGGCACAGGCATCATGTTGTCACATATTTCCGAAACAGAAGACAGACATTGCTAAGGAAGCATAAGCACAAATGAAAAGTTGCTGATCTGGAGAAGGGGTTGTGTAACCCTGGAGAAAACTGGTGCTTGCTTACACTGGATAAGAAATCCAGTACTGAGGAGATAAACCAAGCTATAGATGCAGTGTTGAGCTCTAGCAGCTGCAGACCCAGTTCAAATAAATTAAGGCATTAAATGGTATCATATTCACAGCAAACAATCAATGCAGATAACTATGAAAATTAGAGGCAGGGAAGCAGGGAAAAGGTGAAGCCCTTGTTCACATGCAGAGCAAGGCCAAACAATGCAGGCAATTCCTTGATAGTCACCATTTGCTGGGTTTTGTGTTCTCTGGTTGAAGGGGTGTTGTAATTAGTCACTGTGGTCCAGTTTGTTCCATCCCAGAAAGATACAGCAGTAGAGAAGCCAAACCTAAAAATCTTTGCCAAAAACTCTTCCAAAATTAAAATGGTGTGTGTTGACCTGAAATTTGTCTTAGTCATCAGGCCCCACCATATCCTTCTTTCCACATAAATTCACAGGGATAAGCTCCAGAGAGATGTCTGTAGAGGCACTCATTCATCCTTCTGGCTCTCAACACTTTCTCACCACAATGCTTAAGAGGCAGGAGCTGTTACTGCTTCCACCTAAATACTGTAAATTAACTTCAGGAAAAAATGTGTTTTTGATCAATTGCATCCCTGGAAATATAATGAGCACAATTACTCTCTTGCTTGACTATGCAACATTATTCTGTTTTGCCAGTTAATTGCTGGTGATTTTTTCAAGCTGATTAAAACCAGACAATGCACTCACATATGTTTAATCAAGAAATATGGATAAAATTTAGAAGAATACCTTAGGTCTTTTCTGATATTGACAGACATCAAAAAAGTCCTATTTAGAGTCCCAAAGTTTTCTGTCTTTGGTACATGGAGGAATTTGTGATGAGGTGGGGGTCTGTCTTCTCCCAGGCAACAGCGATCGAAAGAGAGGCAATGGCCTCAAGCTACACTGAGAGAGGTTCAAATTAGATATTAGGAAACATTTCTTCTCAGAAACAGTGAGAGTATTCTGGAACAGGCTGCCCAGAGAGGTAGTTGAGTCACTGCCTATGAAAGTGCTTAAGGAAAGGGTAGATGTAGTACTGAGGGAAATGGTTTAGTGGACAGTATTTGTCATGGGTGGATGGTTGAACTAAATGACCTTAGAGTACTTTTCCAACCTATATTAGCACTGTCAAACAACCATGTTTGGAATCCAGAGCCCAGATTTTCAAACTTCTGCATAGCTTTTGGAAATTGATTCTTAATTGAGATATTAAGAAGGGGTCAATTCTAATTACAATTCTAATTCCAGTTGTAGCAGCAGAAGGATAAATATCACAGAATTACTAAAGCTGGTTGTGGATTACTATGTTTATAAATGCAAAAAAAAGAAGATTTTTTTTTTGTCTTCAAAGAATTACCAATCCAAGCTATAGTTTAGAACCACCAAACATCTGAATGGAAGAAAATACTGATACGTTGGCAGGTGAGTATGAGAGGCAACGGTCTCATCAAACCTGAAGCCAAGTGCTTTGCCTTGAATGACTGTAGGAGCTGCTATCCTTCTGTTTTTCTGCAAATAGTCAGTGTTTGAGATAAGAAGGCCTGAATATATTGACCAAAATTTCTTTGGTCTGTGCAGTTTTGGAGTTGTCCATTCCTATTACCCGTACAGGCATAGCATGTGTATACTGACAGTGTCATGAACCAAGATTTCACAAGATCTGGTATCATTACATAGGTGGCTTGAACCTTCCCAATGCTGGAGAGATCTCTGAGATCCCAGATCCCATTGAATTTGGTGAAAGGTGGAGGCATTCATCTTTCACAGAGAGACTGTAAGCATGGACTTTCTAACAACAGTCATGAAACAGGAGAGAGTATCAATCGCAAATGTAAGAGGGAGCTAAGCACAGTTTCCCCTAATCTCTTGGGATCCAGGCATTTATCTCTCTGCTTAATTGAATGAATGGGAAATTAGATAAAACTTTGCAGAGTAAATCTTTTGGCAAATGTGATACCCAAGTAAAAAATTTTCAGTGGACTCTACATTTTCACAGCTGCTCCTTTGTTTTGTGGAAGTGTATTTTGAATGTAAGTCCTGCTTACATTGCATCCCTATTAATTCTATTGTACATATTAAATGTCCTCTTTGTAGTGCGTAAAACCAGAAGAGAGACTAAAAACAAATAGCATGTGTTTAAAATGTTTTATGGAAGGTGGCACCAGTGTTTTCTGAAAGCTTCCATCAGGCCAAGCCACTGTTCTCTGATAATAGTGTTATTGTTCATGGCCAAAACTGGAACCTAAAATTAAGTAGGAAATAATGGAAGAGGTGAGAGAACATGCTACTTAGCCCTGTGAGAGACAAAAAAAATGTATAGACTAGACAGAATGTGTTTCTTGCTTCTCTACCAGCATACTTACATCTGTGCTAAGTTAAATCCTATGTTCCCTCCGTAACTGCAAAGTGAAAGTTATTTTCTTTTTATTTCAGTAAATCCGATGACCATCAGAGCCATATTTTATGACTCACAGCATGATGAAATGCCTCCATACACTGTTTGAGGCACAGAGATGTATCACTGCTCTCATTTTGTCACGTGGGACAGAGTTCTGTGAATTGGTCTGCAGAGAGTTCCAGATCTGCCTTTTACCCAGTGGACTGCCTTTTACCCAAAAAAAGACCTCTGCAGGAACCTGACCACAGCAGCTTCTTTCTCAAGAGGCTTTCCACAGCTAAGCAGCTGGACGTGCTCCCAGCCCATGAATAATACACATCTTTGGGGTGCTCATGTGCTTGTGTGATTCCCAAGTTTGTTTCCACATCCTTATTCATGAGGGGATGTGCATTTGCACTTCCAGTATTATGGAAGAGGAAGAGCTGTGGTATGTGAACTTCAAGTTACTCCACAAGGGGTGCAGATCAGGCTCAGCAAAAGACCCCAGCACAACAGTTGGTGCATCTGGCCATTCTAGAGTCAGCACCCAGGCAGCTGCAAGATATCCAGAACCTCTGGAATGAGCATGGACAAGTGAGGGAAAAGACATGGATACTGAGTCCTGTGTGTTTTAGTGAACACTGTCTGTGCCAAGGGATCATGAGCAGCTGGAAAATTTGGAGCATATTGCGATATTTATTTCAGTGTTAGAAATAGTGGATTGGAAAAAATGCCCTCTTTTGAGTGGCACTGTGTTTCCTTTGGTTGCAGCTGTGTCTCCAGGTCTTTGCTTACCAAAACAAATGCTAGCATCAGGCCATCGTGGCCATTATGGCAGAAAATACAGAGCAACAGAGGGAGATCCAGTGAGGAAGAGGTCAGATATAGTGGAGACACAGGAAACTGAACTGAGGAGGTGGAGAGGCACTTTGCCAGTCAGGGGAGATGCAGAACTTACCACCTGCTACCACAGAAGTAATTAAATCGCGCTCCAGAAATGGATAGTCCATATCCAAGTGAGGCAAAACTGATCTCATACAGATCTATTCCAACCTGGAGAGTTATTACATCTCTCTATTTCTAATTATGCTGTTACCCAGTATGATGCCAACTCCAAAGGCAGAACCTGTGTCACTAAAGAACCTTTTCTTTGTGGAAAGACTGATTAGTGGTGGCAATTATGAGAAATTTCAGGAATAGTTCCTTTTTGCATCTGAAACTGCCATCTTTTTTTGGACCAAAAAACAAAGGGAATGAAAGAACCTGAAAACAAAAGCTGAGATGATTTTTCTGTTTGGAATAAATATTGTTAGTTGTAATCCTTTGATAAAACTTTGACCAAAAAGTGGAAGAAATGTGTGAGTACCATTAAACATCTCAGCTCCCTGTCCATCAGCATTCATCCACATCCTGCTCTGGCCCATTTGTGCTGCTCAGCATCATTCCAGAGTGATGCTTGCAGAATTTTTTTCCTCATTTTCTTTTCCTCATAGGCAAGCAAAACTGACACTGCATTTTTTCTGATTCAGGGATGGAGGATGCTTGCCCAAAATGACCCATGTGGTGCTTCTCATCGTCCTGCTCTCCAGATCATTCTTTATGTGAATTTAGTGGAGCAAAATGTCACTGCATTGTCCCTGGGATGGGGGAACAGGACTCTAAATGTATTTTCCTTTGGGATCCAGTAAGATGGGAGACCTTTATGAAGAAGCAAAAATATTCTGGAGCTGGAGCTGCAAAAACTGATTCAGTGACTTGTCATGCATGAGGTGATGCATGACATGTCTGTCATCACCAGGCTGGACTTACAGATATGTCTCAGGTGGCTGTTTTTATTGGTGATACTTAGTAGTCAGGTCTGCCTTGCCCACACAGTGTCATAGAATCATAGAATTGTTTGAGTTGGAAGAGACCCTTAAAACACATCTGGTCTCACTCCCTTGCAATGAACAGGAATATCCACAGCTCCATCAGGAGCTGAGAGCCCTGTGCAGCCTCACCTTAGGTGTCTGAATGGATGGCACATCCACCACCTCTTTGGGCAATCTGTGCCAGTGCCCTTATTGTAAAAAAAACTTTTTCCTTATAACTAGTCTCAGTCTCCCCTCTTTCCCTTTGAAACCATTTCCCCTTGTTCTATCACAACAGGATACACTGACAGGC